GTTATATGAGCCATTACACATTAATTCTATTCCATTTTTCGTTCCATCTATATCCTTATTTATATAACGACTAATTTTTTTAACTCTGCATTGATCTTTTAGCGTTTAGATACCTTAAAAAATGTGCACTTCTTTAAGCTCACGTTTTTTGTCCACTATTAGGCGAGACATGTGGTCTCCTCCTTTGCCCACCAATGGACTGTCTCCACTTCCTTCGCGAAATGCTGCCACCCGTTCACCATTATCTCCTTCATTGGGATATAGCCACCGTCATCGACACGTTTGTGATGAGGAAGATGATAGCAAAGATGATATTCGTCGGCGATATGATCGCTGTCGTAATCACGGCGACGATAATCGTCGACGAGACCATCGCCGATCCCCTCCAGCTGAACGACATCATACCACTGTCGCTTCACCTGACTGTCTAATTCCATTTGCCACCGGCACAAGACATCGTCGACATTTAGATGTGGCCAGATCACCTGAGGTCGTATCTGCTCCTCTAGAAGTCAAACGCTCGGGAAAGCCAGCTTTCTTGGCTGGTCGGCATGTGGTTGAGTTCCAAGACAGCTATGTAGTCAACATTGAGACGCGCCATGCCAAGCCAAGTCAAAAGCTAACCCCCGAAACCGAGAAGACTGGCGAGCAAAGCCCTGCAATTCGTTCCTGTCAGCAGCTGAATCCAAGCGAGGGAGGCACAGATCGCAACAAGCATGTGAATATCGTTCTGAATAAAAAAGAGGTAACAACGGTTGTTGAAGAACTGGTTAGCACCTTATTCGTTCACATATTTTTTGGTATCCTATCGTCGTTATGAGTTGAGGTATTAAAAAATTACTGTTTATTTGAATCAAATCATTTAATATACCATCAAGAGCATAATTGTTCATTCAGTGTATTTTTTACTATAGTGGGACAGTGATTAATTCCCTTTTTACAGGACATCTTCCTGTTCAGGCATTTCTGTTTACCGGTAAGCTTAAATCTTACACGAGAATTGAATTCACTTTTAAATGAAACCTCTAGAAATGTACCTAGTCAATGCTTCGATTCGATAAGAACAAATAGCAGAAATGTAGGAAACTTGGTACGGATTAGGTTTTTTGAAGTTTCCAAAACTCGGCTAGTTTGCAAAAGGGATCAAAACAAAATCTGCGCAGCGAAATTAAATGTAATCAAACTAAATGCCATATTAATGTTCTCTATGTGCTCAAAAACTTTAAGCCAGACCATATATAACTAGACAATATCACTTTCAAACATTTTCGGTTTTAGTCCTTACATCGCTCGGCAGCCGGCGCCTTTTCTTCCTCTCCATCACCTCCGGCTGAGCCATTTTCTAAACTCGACTCAACACAACGGCCTGACGTTGACTCTGTTGCCATGCCTCCTGGACTTCTTTCTACCGGCTTAGATAAGTCTACTACGCCTGGTATGGACACTGGGGCTAGCCATCTGCCTAGCCTTACGGTTGACCCCGACTCTGCCCAAAAGAGACGCAGCTCAAATGGTAGTCGAAGTCGGAGCCAGAGCTCTGAGCACGTTCGCAAGCTGCCACACGATCCCGGCCGCCATGGCGGTAGGTCCCGAGACCCTCCTGTTAGCTTGGTTAGTTCGAACAGTCTAAGCAGGCGTAGTCGCAGTCGGGGAAATAGGCATGGACGCGGAGGCAGTCGATCCTCAGATGACTCTTCTCGGTCTGGTTCATCGCCGCCTAGCCGCTTTACTGGTAGCAGTAGTTGGCAGCACCGGAGTCCTCCGCCCCACCTCCTTAAGCTGTAAGAAAATTTATTCAATTTTCGCCCACTTATGTGCATGGCCGTCGTTTCCATGGCCAAATGTGCTTCCTTTATTAGCTTATTAATTATATAGCTATTTTTATCGATTATTTATTTTTTATGGAGACTATGCTCTAACAATTGAGCTTTTATAAAGTAGAATAAAGCAACCGAAATATAAGGTGAAGTTTTGGTCACTTCTATAGTTCAATAAGATGTTTAACGGCTAATCAATTAGATAATTAATGTTATGTAAGTTAGAGTAATACTATTAACTTGTCAAAATTTTGTATTTCACGTAATACAGTGGCTAGATGTTGTCTTCTTGGTATTTGTCCAGATTTACCTGATTCAACTATTAGGGAACTGACTCGGTATAAGGTAGTATGGTTAAGACTAGACTTAAAAGAAAGTATAGAGTAAATGGCCTAATTTAAACCAAACTGATAGTAAACAAGCCCTTTCTTTAGTCTTATCAGGAATATTTTCTTAAGCTACATCCCGGCATAAGAGATGGATAAGATCCTTAAATGTCGACATAAAAATAAAGGAATTTATGCATTAAAATCAAATCAAGGAATATGGGCTACAATAAGATAATTAATAAATTTAATACCATTTGTATATATGGAGACCAAGATTGTGTAGCCTTTTGTTTGGT